AAGGACCATATTTTAATTTTGCAGCCACATGTGTTTAATATCAAAGCTTGATTTTTAAGAAAAAACTATAAACTGTTCCATTTAAATTTTAGTTGCTTTTTTTGGCCTGCACTGTGGTGTAGTGGGTAAAGTTACCTCCTGAAGTGCTGGCATCCCCTCTGGGTACCAGTTCAAGTCCTGGCTGTTCCAGTTCCAATCCAGCTCTCTGCTATGGCCTGGGAAAGCAGTGGAAGATGGCCTAAGTCCTTGGGCCCCTGTACTCACGTGGGAGACCTGGAAGAAGCTCCTGTCTCCTATCTTCAGATCAGCACAGCTCCAGCCATTGTGGCCTACTGGGGAGTGAACCAGTGGATGGAAGACCTCTCTCTCTGTTTCTCCGTATTTTTCTGTGTAACTCTGGCTTTCAAATAAATAAATAAATCTTTTTAAAAAATTTAGTTGCTTATAAACATTTTTATAACATGATCAGACATTGATTTTTGTCCTAAATATTTTTTTCTTAGAATAAATCATTTTGCCTTAGCATAAAACTTATTTTTCTTTTTCTTATCATTTTTATCATATGATACTATTTTACATACAAAAATTATTCTTTCATTTTAACTATTTTTATAATATAAATAAAATGTATCCTTATACTTTATACATTTTTTCTTATATATTGATTACTTTTTGCCTTTTTATTTCTTTTTAACTACATCTTGAAAAAATTTTAACTTCAGAATTAAAAAAATAACTCTTAGTAACGTTAACCTCTAGTGGAAACCTAATAAGGCATACTTGAATTGTGAATATTTTATAATTCTTAGAAACACATGTTTATACAACAGTTGTTAATGTGCTACAGGATATATTTATTAATAGATTCAAATATGTTTTGTCTTTTTATAAGACTTAGGAAGCCCAAAGTGGATATACCTAAACACATAGTTTGTAATCAATGTTTATAATTCTATTTTATTTAGAAATGGCCCAGATACTTGGCAAATATTGAGCATGTAATTTAGCTTAGTAAAACTATATGAATGTAGTTACCCAAGAAATCATAAAAACATAGTGAAACATAATTATCACTTCACAAGTACATTTATAAATTGTGTCTCCTTTTTCTCTTTGTGATTCACTTGCTATTGGGTCAAACTCCTATTTTTACGATTTTAAACAAGTAACAGAGCTAGAGTCACAAGCCTTGGAGAACAGATTTGTAAGAGTCACGAGGGCATTTGAGTGCAAAACTCTCCAGGTAAACTTGTGCCTTTGAATGAAGCAGCCAGCTCCTCCATGTAGTTGGCTAACTCCTGGTGTTGTTTCCTATCATCGTGAGGATTTTTCTTTTTATGCAGTCAGCTGGTTTCATCCATTCATTTGCTTTACTTTCAGAAATCAGTGTTTGAATCAATTGGTATAAACCCGAATACCCTGGTTCACAAACCCTAACAGTTAAGTCATATTTGGGAATTCTTAGTATCAAATCTCTTAATTCAGCTCAAGTGCAAGAGCCATGTTTTTCCCTCTAACAGCTTTCTCCTTGAGAACAGATGGCAGTATATTAGGCTCTGGATCTTTTCCAGCGTTTCTGAGTTAGGAAAGGAAGCAAGAGAAGAAGAGAATAGAACCTGGCTCCGGCAGCTCAGAGAGCAGAGCATCTGAAGGATACGGAGGAGGAGTTGCAGGCGGAAGATCCGTTAGTATGGCTGCAGTAGTTGCAACAGTCCTAAGGCTCCTGCCATTACCAAGTTTGCCTTGGCTGCCTTCTTGATTTCTGAGACAGTTTCAATTACAGTCCTGTTAATTTCTTAAAAGGAAACAATCCTATCATTTTCCCTCTTTGATGCTTCTAAGTATCAATCAAAATAATTGTCCTGTTCTGGTTTCTCAATTTTATTGTTGGCTTTCTAAGTTGTATACACAAAACACCAGTTTAGATACATCAAAGGTACCCCATCTTGGTCATTGCAAGCTTGAATCACTTCTAGTATCAGTCTCCCATTTAGACAGTTTGAGCTCCAAAGGTATTGTATCTGAATCCTGCTGGACTGCTGGCAAGGGACTGATAGATATCCTAGTGATTTTGGTATTGAATCCATTGCTTCTTACTCTAGTTTGTTGAGACAAAGTCTATGGATTTCAATGTACAGGATCAGTGTTTTACACGTAAACTATCTGCTCATGATGTGTCTTGGTTTCTCCCACCAACTGTCTATCATGACCTAGTGCTAGTGATTAGCCCTATGGGGCCTCCATGGATGAGTCAATTTATTATTCATGTGTAGGGAATTCCCTATAAGACTGCTGCTTATCTTCAGATGAATCTTGGACTCCTCCTCTAAGCCTCCAGCCACCTGGAAGTGCAAGTAATCTGATCGGAGGGAGCAAAGATGTTTGTTAGCTTTGGAGTCAGTGGATTTTATTTGTTTCATGTTTTCATTTCACTGAATTGGATTTTGAGGCTTTGTCCTGAACAAAGGGAAAATGCACTGACTATCTTCTCCCAGCTAAGTCCCCTCCTCTAAGTCCCTATCCATACATTAAAATATAGACTTCCTTTCCCTACTACCTCTCAAAGGAGCTCCTGTGCCCCATACCTGGGATGTGGTCTACTATCTGAATAAACACAGGATCTTCAACCAATAAGTGGGAGATCTATGACCCAGGAGAGACTCACCCTGCCACCTGGGGCTCCAGAGAAGCCGGTGAGATGACAAGGAGGCCTTGCTGGTACCAAGGCACTAGGTGCACATGGTATTTTGGTCAGTTTCAAGTGGTCTGCTCTGGGTTCTTTTTCAGTAGCCAAGATGGTTGACTAAATAAACCGAGTTTGGTTGGACAATGAAAGTCAAAGTTTATTCAGCTAGTCAAACTGAGGATTTAAACCCAGAAACCAGCAGTCAGTTGCATGGATTGACTGCTCCACAAGCCTGATTTTGATTACAGGTTTTATACTTTTCTTACAGGATGAGCACATACATTGAGTCAGGTTTAAACAAAATAGACTTCTGTGTGGTCATCAATCACATTGAAAAATCAAAGAATACTTGGTTCTTGCCAACAGACTTAATTATTGATTAGGGATGTATGCTACATTCTCACACCACATATGCAGGGAGAGGCAAACAATGAGATCATTAGTCTTCCTACAATGCCCATAGAAAGCTCACTCCCTAAGTACAGTAGATGTTTCTTTGGTCACAGGTAGTTTGTTGGAAGGCCCTGTTGCCTGGGAACAAGCTGCAGGGCATCCTCACAACATGGATAGCATTTCGGCTACTGCAGTCTCTGTTCCACTCTTAAGTGCACAATAGTGACAACTGGATGCTGGAGTATTGCCAACTGGACCATCTAAATGCTGCGAATATTCTTCTCTTCCTGTATTGTGCAAAAGTACACCTACACCTACAGGGTGACAGACAAACCTGGCAGGACGTGGGTTGTAAACAGAGAAAGAAATTTGCACAAATTTCCACTCTCAGGCCTGTGTGAAATGTCAATACAGATCCCACATAAACACTGAGAGCTATATTTCTCTTTCTAGACTGTCTGAAAGGCAGTTTTTCTCCAGCACCTACAATCACCTTAGCAACCTTGAGCAAGACAACTCCAGAGAAAGAGAAAACACAAAAACACAGGATTAGGAGTGAGAAAAGGAAACTAACCCAGATAGATATTTTATTTTTATTATAGAAAAATGGTATATAAGTTGTCATGCAAATCTGTCTGAAACTCCTCATGAGTTTTCTGAGAAAACATAAATCATTTAAAAATGACTGAGAAAGTAGAACATTAAATAAACATCAAGGGAAAACTTCCTAAAATGCTTTCTCCAAGAACTTTGCAAGGCTGCATCTTTCTAATCATTCTGGCTTCATTCAAATATCAGCTCTTCAAAGTTTTCCCAGATACTTAACAAATATAAATAAATAAACTTTTTTTTAAAAGTCAGTAGGGCCTATGTCAGTGCTGTGACATTTCAGCCTCCCTTTCCCTCATTACTGCACAATTATGCATTGGATTTTTATGCAATGATCATGTACAATTTTCCATAAACAAGAAAATAATTTTAAGCACTTAAATTTTTTCTTTGAAAAATAAGTGAGTGCTGAAAAATCAAAGGAAAAGAGAACAAAATTTTAAATAAAAATTTTGAGACAGATAAAATGTCAAATAAAAAATAGATGAAGTCAATGAATTTTATGATAAAGCCAACACTGAGGCAAGTTTCAAAATATCAAATTTTTACCTATCACTGTTTGGATCAACATAGCAAGTACCAAAGAGAAAGCTGGCAGCCAGTAGATATGTATTATAGAATACCAAGTTTCAGTTGTGTTCTAGATTCTTCTGTTTTTAAAACCAGAAAACCAATGGATCATGTGGTTACTTGAATCAGCAAAAACCTTCTTATGCTGCATTAACCAGCTTGAGTTAGATTTCTGTTCTGAAAAATATAATTCTTTTCTAAATAACCTCTTTAATTCTATTCCTTCTCTAAGAATCATTCTTGCTCTCCCTTTCACCAATCTTTATCATTCCTTCTAAAGTTTTTCTTCTCATCATTTCTTACATTTCTCTTCATCATTCTTGCCCACCCAAACTATGAGAATTGAAATCAGAAACCTAAAACTAATCTGCCGTTTCTGTGAAGCCCAGTCTCCTGTAGAGAGGAGTAAGAACAATTGCTCTGAAGACTGCAAAGGACAAACGAGATGATGATGTAGAGCAACTTCCAACCATAAACCATGATACATCCTTTGGGGGAGGCTATTTTCCCTTCATTTCTTTTCGTTTTCCTTCTTGAACCCTGACTTACATTCCTCTTTTGCTTTCACCAACCCTCCTTCCTTTCTCCACTGTGCTGTCCCTTTCTTACCCTTTCCCCTCCATTTCACAGCTTCCATTTTCCTTCCTCTCTCCCTCAAGTTTTCATTTTCCCATTTCTCCTCCCTCCCTCCCTCCCTCTCTCCTTGATTGGCTCATGATGCCTGTGAGTCATTCTGAGGTGCGAGGAAGCTCTAATATTCAGTCTGGGTTGGTGAGAAGAAGAGACAGAGGAGCTTTCACTTGTGCACCAGCCAGAAAGAAAGATGGAGCCAGCTAAACTCTCCACAGAAACAGCTAACCAAGTAAGTATGGTTTGCTCTCGAAATGTCATCTCATGTATGATCTTAGTGGCAGTTACAACTTTATTATCTAAGTCAGTGATGTGCACACCGTGGGAGGATATTGTGTGCTGTACTTTACATGGAAGGAGTAGTCCTGGTAATTTGCAAGTCAATATTTAAGAAATAGAATCGTAGTCATGATAAAATAAGAACTATTATTAAAGAAACAGTGTAGGCAATGCTTCTCTTAAGTAAATTATTGTAAAAAGCTAAATCATACTTTATAAGGAGCCATCTTTTAATATAGAAAAATTGATAGATAGTATCAAAGGTTTTATTGTGTAGAGATTTAAAACTAAAAATGTCATAAACAAATAAGGGTTATAACACACTGGAATTAAGTATCAAGGTAGAATATAATGTTCTACATGCTATTGACTACAATGAACTTTGGCTACAGAAGCAGAATTAATATTGTTTCCTTCCCTATTTCCAAAGTAATAGCCATCACTTACTAAAATATTCTTTGTATGATGGATTCTAATCTTCTCCATTTAAAATAAATGATTATTGTTAGACATTATCATGCAGAAATTTATGCTGTGTAAATTGAACTGGACTCCATAAGTCACTTGACCAAGTTTAACATCTTGTGACATTTGGAATTCAGAGAAGAAATCCTTTACAAATACAGAGTATAATCAGGTATCTGGGACAAAACAATTTTTTAAACTATATTTATGTGTATTTGAGGGTCTTCAAAAAGTTCATAGAAAATGCTAATTATGAATAAATTATGCATAGATTTAAATTTTTTTGCACCCAAATGAACTTAACTTTTAATTTTGGTTTTCTGTGAACTTGTTGAAGTACCTTCATTTTAGAGTGGCTTAATACATATGTAGATACAGAGATTGCAGATTTCACACTATAACACATTATGTAATTATTCAGAAATATTTAAAAGTATATACAAGAGGAGCCGGCATTGTGGTGTAACAGGTAAAGCCACTATCTGCAGTGCCAGCATCCCATATGAACACTGGTTCGAGTTCTGGCTGCTCTACTTCCGATCCAGCCCCTTGCTAATGTGCCTGGGAAAGCAGTAGAAGATGGCCCAAGTCTTTGAGCCCCTGCACTCATGTGGGAGACCCAGAAGAAGCTCCTGGCTCCTAGCTTCAGATTGGCCCAGCTCTATCCATTGCGGCCATTTGGGAAGTGAACCAGCAGATGGAAGACTTTCTCTCTCTCTCTTCCTCTGCCCCTGCCTCTCTGTAACTCTGCCTTTCAAAGAAAGAACAAAAATTAATAAAAATATACACAATATTATTTTCAATAAATAGACTATCTATATTTCAAAGTATCAAAAACAGAATGACTAGTGAGTCTAGTAGATGTGAGTTTAAGTATATGCCTCACCTGGTTTGTTTAAGGACCATAGGCCCACCTCATCATTGCATCTTTCTGTGTATATACGTGTAGGTTATCACATGTCGAGCAGCTGTTGCCTGGAAAGCCAATGCTCCTTTGTCCATTGAGAAGGTTGAAGTTGATCCACCAAAGACTGGGGAGGTTCGAATTAAGGTAAATATGAATGCAACTTTTAGTGGCTATGGATGTGGAATATATGGTGGCAATGATTTCACAGTTTTAGAAAAACAGCATATTTTCTGCAAAGATAATTAAGGCTTTCTATGATTTATAACTACATGTATATTACCATATTTATCAGATTATGGCTTTTTATTAAAGTGTCACAAAACATTGCTTTTTAAAAATATTTTGAAAGCCAATATAATTGTTGATTCATAGATCTTTTTGAAATGATGAAGTTATACAGTTATATACTTGTTATGGCTTTAATACTTCCTCCAAAACTCATGCTGGAATTTAATTTCCTTATAATAGTGTTGAGAGGTGAGACCCTTAAGAGATGATTAGGTCATGGGGATCCCACCCTCATAAGTGGATTAAGGCTGTTATTTCAGAAGTGGGTTACTTATCATGGAAGTGGGATCCTAATAACAGGACAAATTCAGCCCCCCACCCCCTTCTCTATCGCACACATTTGCTTCTCCTTCCACCATATTATGACACAGGTGGTGGTGATCACCAAAGGTCAGTGCCATACTCTTGGACTTTCCAGCTTCTACAACGACAGCAAAACACAGTTCTATTGTTCATCAATTACTCAATCTGTGTATTCTGTTGTAGCATCAGAAAGTGAAGAAAATAATAGAGCAGACACTTCTAGTGGGAGTGGCTGAGAAGACTGGGCTCCCTTTCCTAACCCAGCTCCCTCCCTTTAAGGCTCCATTCTAGACAAGGGAGACCTAGAATACCAGGGCCCAATTCACCCATGTGCCAGCTCCTTCTAATTCAGAAAGCAGCATTTCAAACCAGGCAGGGCAAGATGAGAAAAACCATGTTAGTCTTCTCAGGCTATCATAGTAAAACACTGTAGATTGTATGGTTTAAGCAAAAAAAAAAAATTTCTCATAGCTCTGGATGCTGGAAATCCAGGATGAAGGTTCCAGTATGGTTTGGTATTTGTGAGGGCTTTCTTTCTGGCTTCCAGATCTTGCTGTGTCCTCTCACAATGGAAAGAAAATGAGCAATCTGTCTGATATCTCTTCTTACTAATTCAGTGACATTGCAGGATACAAAAGCAACAAATAAAATCAGCTATATTTATATAAGTTAACAACAAAATATCTGAAAATGAAATTAGGTAAATAATCTCATTTAAACTAGCTCTAAAAGCACAAATATCTGACAAAGAAAAAACTTCACTAGGGAAGTGAAAGATTTTTGTATGGAAAATTACAAAGCATTGAACTTTGATGAGTCAAAGAATACTCAACGGAGAAAAGATTTTCTGTTCAATGAATATTGTTGGAGAAATTAGATAATCCAAATTCAGGAGAATAAAATTGGACTCTCATCATATGACACTCAAAAATCAACACAAGATGAATGAAACACTTAAACATAAGACTTGAAACTGTAAAGCTAATAGAAGAACACATTGGGTAAAAGCTCATGACGTGGATCAAGGCAAAGGTTTTCATAGATACGACAACAAAAACAGACAGGAAAGCTTATATCAAGCTTAAGAGCTCAAAGGAAATTAGTAACATAATGAAAAGATCACCTACAGAATAGGAGAACATATCTGCAGGCCATGTATCTGAAGAGGTTAATATCTACAGTATATAAAGAACTTTAACAATTTGATGGCAAAAAGTTTAAAATAGACATTCCTACAAAGAATACATACAAATGACCAACATCTATATAAAAATACTTAATGTCACAAATTATTAGGAATGTACATCAAAACCACATGAGATAACACCTTATATATGTTAGGGAAGCTATTATCAAAAAACAAAGATACCAGTGGTTAGCAAAGTTGTGGAGAAAAGGAAACCCTTTGGGAATTCAAATGGTGCAATCACAATAAAAACAGGATGGAGAGTTCTCCAAAAACTAAAAAGAACAATAATAATATGATGTAACAATCTAATTCAGAGTATTTATACAAAACAATTAAAATTAGTATGTCGGATATATGCACTCCCATGTTCCTTCCAGCACTAGTCATAATAGCCTAGATGTGGGAAAAACCTAAATATCCATCAACAGATGAATAGACAAAGGAAATGTGGTATACACATACAGTGGAATACTGTTTAGCTTTTTTAAAAAAATTCTACAATATGGAATAATATGTTTGAATCTTAAGGACATTGTTGCATGAAATAAGTTAGTCACAGAAAGACAAATACTGCATGATTCCACTTGTATGAAATAGTTAAAACAGTCTAATTCATGGAATCAAAGACTAGAATGGTAGTTTCCAGGGATAGGGGAAAGAGTGATTTGGGGAGTTAACAACCCACAGGCATAGTTTCAGACAAACAAGATGGTTTAAGTGCTAGAGAAACAATGCATAATATGGCACCTAGGGTCAGTCATAATGTATTGTAAACTTTAATCCTGCTGAGAGGATAGAAATCATGGTAAATGTTCCTACCACAGTAAAATGAAATAAAAAGAGAAAAATAACCTATACAAGGGAACTCCAGTAAGACTAAAGATTGATAACATTAGAAGCAATAAACTTCAGAGAGCAATGCAGTGACAAACTCAAAGAAATTAAAGAAAAAAAAAAAACTATTAGGGTCAGCATTGTGGTATAGTGGGTAAAGCGGCTGCCTGAGATGCCAGCATCCGATATGGGCAGTGGTTTGTGTCCCAGCTGCTCCACTTTTATCCAGCTTCCTGCTAGTGGCCTGGGAAAAGCAGCAAAAGATGGCCCAAGTGTTTGGGCCCCTGTCATCAATGTGCAAGACCAGATGAAGCTCCTGTCTTCTGGATTTGGCTTGGCTCAGTTGCAGGCATCTGGGGAATGAGCCAGTGTATGAAAGATATCTCTCTCTCTCTCTCTAACTCTGAGTTTCAAATAAATCTTTTTTTTTAATAAAAAACTATTAACCAAGAATCGAGCAAAACTGCCTTTCAAACACGAAGGTGAAATAAAGCTATTCACATGTATTTTAGGAGACTGAGATAATCTGCTTCTGAAAAAGTTGACTTACCTGAGATAGTCTAAGAAATTCTTCCAGCTAAACTACAAGACACACTAATTTTGATCAAGTTGAAATACTACTTCATATATAAAATATTTCACCATACCTAAATTCTAGATGTCTTCACCATTACTAACTGCCTTTACAAATGGATATTTTTTCTTTTATAGTAGTTTGACTTTTGCTTTAAAAGTAAATCATAAACCAAGAAAATAAAATGTCCATCAATGAGACAGTTTAATAACTGTATAAATTCAAACTTTTGTAGCTGTTTCACTTTTATTAAAATTCAACTATTGATTGCTGCACAATTTATGCAACAATATCATCATAAAAAATTTTAAGAACTAAATATAACTAAAGGATTACCAAATGATGAAAGTTCAAACTTTTAGGTAAACGAAAGAATGTTTAAAAAGTATTATTCACTTTAGTCAAATACACTAGGTAGGCTGTTAGTTCAAAATAACTGAACCTACGTTCCAAAATTTGAAAAGTGCATATATGTTGTTAACTACAAATAAATGAGCTATAAGAGTCTACTCTTAGGCTGTTGTTCCCTGTACCTTTCAATACTGGTTAAAAGAATGTGTTGCCCCAGCCAGGATTTTTCCACCATATTTCAGAGGACTTTACTGAATGTTGTCCTATCGTGACCAGTACAATCTGACCTTATGTGTCTGTCTTCCTTCGAAACCTTTATAAATCATAATAAATTCTCAGGATTTCAACTGGCAATTGCTCAATGTGGAGCTTTTACTTTCTTTAATTTTTTTTCATTGTATGGAAGTTCTTTATTTAATTTATTTTTTTCTAAAAAGCTTTTATTTAATAAATATAAATTTCATAGGTACAGCTTTTGGAATATAGCAGTTCTTCCCCGCATACCCGTCCTCCCAACCACACTCCCATCCCACTTCCTACTCCTTCTCCCATCCCATTCTTCATTTAGATTCATTTTTAATTATCTTTATATACAGAAGATCAACTCTATACTAAGTAAAGATTTCAACAGTTTGCACTCACACAGACACACAAAGTAAAAAGTACTGTTTGAAGACAAGTTTTACCATTAATTCTCATAGTACAACACATTAAGGACAGGGCTCCTACATGGGGAACAAGTGCACAGTGACTCCTGCTGTTGATTTAACAATTGACACTTTTATTTATGATGTCAGTGATCACCAGAGGCTCTTGTCATGAGCTGCCAGGCTATGCAAGCCTTTTGAGTCCACAAACTCTGACATTATTTAGACAGGGCCATAATCAAAGTGGAAGTTCTCTCCTCCCTTCAGAGAAAGGTACATCCTTCTTTGATGGTGTCTTCTTTCCACTGGGATCTCTTTTGCAGAGATCTTTCATGTAGGCCATTTTTTGCCAGAGTGTCTTGGCTTTCCATGCCTGAAATGCTCTCCTGGGCTTTTTAGCCAGACCAGAATGCCTTAAGGGCTGATTCTGAGGCCAGAGTGCTGTTTAGGGTGTCTGCCATTCTATGAGTCTGCTGGGTGGGCTGCTTCCTATTTTGGATGATTCTCTCCTTTTTAATTCTATCTATTGTTATTAGAAAACACTTGGCCTTATTTATGTGATCTTTTTGACACTTATTCCTATCTTTATGATCAGTTATGCACTTAAAAGGATCATTTTACCTACTATGATGGCATTAGTACCTGCCAACTTAATGGGATTTAAAGTCCCATGGCAAGTTTTTAGCTTTACCCTTAAGTTTAAATCCATGGGAACATGTGCCAAACTGTGCATCTCTTCCCTCTCTTATTCCTACTTTTATTTTCCAATGTGAAACTTTTGATAGGCTGATCAATTTTTAATTATTGCTTTGCAGAAAAAATTTACATTTATCCAAAACATAATACAGAAATTTGGCTACCTGGGTTAACCGGGGTAAATAATTTCTCATCTCTCTTTCCTGAACATTGTTTTTTTTTCTCACTGGCATCTTTTTTTCTTTCATGGATATTTGACTTTTAAATATCCTTTTTTGTGGTATTTTGTGAAATGTCATTCATTATGTTCTCAATAGCAGCATTTAAGGGATTTTGTTGCCTTTTACTTTATCAGGTTATATATACAGAGTCAAAATCCTTTTATTCATTAACTAAACATTGATAAAATTTAAAACTTTTAACAGGTAAGATATAGTCTAAACTAGTTAGTGAAGTGTTAAAATTGCTTTGCATTCATTAAAATGATTAGGAGAGGAATAGTCTCCTTCTTTACTACCATCACCTTGTGAACATTGCACAAATAAAAAGTATTCTTCTTCCATCTTTCTCATCCATATGGCATGGAGTAGCCTATCTGCTACCCAGACCCAGTGCCCAACACACCAAGGAGAACTGACACCCAGTTGATATGGCATAAAATAACATTCTAAATAGAAATACAAGATAAGTCTAGTTTCTTCACATTTAACATCTGGAATTATAAGTTATTTTCTTTTAGTATATCCAGTGGATATATAGCAGTATCTTAAGATTTAAATTTACATTTTCCTGGTGATGAATGAGTTTGGTCATGTTTCATATTCTGTTTGGTCATATGGGGTATCCTTTTTGTGTAGTAGATAATAAAGTTTCACCTAGTGTAATTTTCATTTATGTATTTGAGAGAGAGAGAAAGAGAAAGGAATAAAACTCATATGCTGGTTCACTTCCCCAAATGCCTCCAGCAGCCCAAGGTGGGCCAGACCAAATCCAGGAGCTGAGAACTCAAGCTCAGACTCCCACACAGATGTCAGAGACTCACTTTAGCATCACCTGCTGCCTCTCAAAATGCACATTAGCAGGAAGCTAGAATCAAGAGCATAGTCAGGACTAGAACCATCATTCTCTGTGTGTGTGTGTGTGTGTGTGTGTGTGACAGGCGGGTACATCTATTCATATTTATCATATCTGAAACGCAAAAAAATTTGAAGAAATTTAATAAAAAATAACACAACACAGTAGATGTTAATATAAACATTTTTATTGAAAATGTATGTATATTTCCAAAACAAAAAGTAGTGAGAAGACTTGCATATTTCAGTATAAAATATGAATTCTTTTTGTGAACTTTCAATTTCATCACACAAAATAATAAAGAGATATGTGATCAAAGATTAAGATTTAGTAAACTGGCCGGCGCTGCGACTCACTAGGCTAATCCTCCACCTTGCGGCGCCAGCACACTGGGTTCTAGTCCCGGTCGGGGCGCCGGATTCTGTCCCAGTTGCCCCTCTTCCAGGCCAGCTCTCTGCTGTGGCCCGGGAGTGCAGTGGAGGATGGCCCAAGTGCTTGGGCCCTGCACCCCATGGGAGACCAGGATAATTACCTGGCTCCTGCCATCGGATCAGCGCGGTGCGCCGGCCGCAGCGCACCTGCCGCGGCGGCCATTGGAGGGTGAACCAGCGGCAAAGGAAGACCTTTCTCTCTGTCTCTCTCTCTCACTGTCCACTCTGCCTGTCAAAAAAAAAAAAAAAAAAAGATTTAGTAAACCAATATTCTGATATGGGATGCAGGTGTCTTGAGCAGTATCTTAACTGCCAGGCCAAACACCCGCACCTATTTGTAGTGTTTCAATATGTAGACCTTAGATATGACCTCTCAGTTGATGATTATTTTGTAAATATATCTTTCCCTCCTGTATTAGTTGGTGTTTTACTTTAACTAAAATATCCAAGAGGAGCTTCTTGAGAAAGAAAAGGTTGATTTCAGCCTACAGTTTTGGAGATTGCAGTTCAAAATCAGGTGTCCCCATATCCCCATACTCCACTGTCTGATGGAGGCTGGTCATGGTGAGTGTGGAGACATGATCTCTTGGGGAATCAGGAAGGAGGAAGAGAGCGAGCCTAGGCCAAACTTGCAACTCAAATAATCAAGCCTCTTGTGAGAACCACCCTCTGGGTACCCGTGACCTCCCACCAGCCTCACCTCTCAGAAACCAGCATGTTATCAGGCCTATACCCTTAACAACAAATCATTAACGTTAAGATATCAGAGTTTAAGCATCTTCATGAGTTTTAGCAAGACAAATCTGGCTGTATCCATAGCACTGTCTGTGGCTTGCCTTTTCATCCCCTTAATTGTTTATATTTATGAGCACAATTCATCATTTCACCACTGTCCAATCTATAAATCTTTCCCCGAATGATTGGGGCTTTTCTGTCCCAATTAAGTATCCAATGCCTTCCTTAAAGTCAGGAAGGTAAGTTCCTTGTTTTTGTCTAAAATCTTAACTGGTTTTCATTTCACACAAATTAAGATCACCTAGTAGAGATTCCTTGTTTGTTGCAGAGTAGAGATCCATAACTCATTTTCTTCTATCTTATACAAAGGTACTTCAAAACATCCTTGGAAAATGAAATTAAAAGATATGTTTTTGTGTATGCAAAAAACATTTGCAATTCATACATATGAAGGATGTTTTAAAAGGTCACATAAAATGCGTGTTATGAAAAGAACTATTCATGGATTACAAACATTTTTGTCATCAAAATAAATGGATTTTAATTAAAAATATTAGTATCTTTCTACAAATTTTTGAAGTATCCTTATACATCAAATTAACCTGGCATTAATTGAAAAGTCTGTCTTCTTTCCTAAGTCACATACACACACTTCAGTGTGAGCTTTATCATAAATCAAGTGACATATGTATAGCCCTATTTCTTGATTTTTTTTAACCTGGCCAACTACCTATTCACATATTTATCTATCCTTGTACCAAAGCCAAATGGTCATAGAATTATAGTCTTATTACAAGTCTTGATATCTTACAAAATTTCTTTGGCTGTCCTTGGAATTCTGCTCTGTTGCATTGAAATGTCACAGAATATTGTAATTCTTCATCACAAATAGTTTCATAATCGTCTGTAAACTTGGGCCTCACAGCTTCTTCTTTCATCTCATAACTTGTCATCAGAAATTACATTAGACCATTAGACATATTTGAATAAAGGTACAAAATAGAAGGCCAAAATATATATATCTGAATATGAAATTTTGCATTTATTTTATAGAATGTCATTCAATTCAATTATTACAAGACCTCCCAAATAGATTCAAGTTATGCATTTCTAGAAGGATACAACTACTTAAGTTCTATCACTACATCCTACCAGTTTATTGATACTTGATTTTATTTATTCTGTTGCTAGTGGTTTGCATGAATTGTGCTGAGCTTTCTACTTCTCCTTAGAATAAAGTTGAATCTGAAAAAAACGTATCTTGCCACAGATGGAAGCTGAACTAACTACATATAATTGCTAAGTCATACTTGACAACAATCTTGCTAGTTAAGTGCTATTGCTTTGGTTTCAGCAATAAGATACTTGATGTGAATATATTTTTGGATACTTCATTGAGAGAGCTGAATCCTAATCACTAGACAACCAGGGATGCCTGAACTACTTCACTAAAATAAGAAAAATATAGCAAAACATTCATTCAGAGTACAAAGGATGAGAGAACAGCCTAAAATGGTTCAGAAAACAAAAAGGGATGGAGAATGAGATAATTTTAGTTATGGAGTGACAGAGCCAGCAAGTTGTTTCTCTCAAAGAACCAAATAGCGTGTTGAACACCAATAACCAGGATGCATGGTTAGTCAGAGATCTCCCACAGACAAAATCTATAGGAAAGACATGAGCTTGCCTGGAGAACTATTTTGGCTAGAAGCCTAATCAAACAGCACAAGAAACCCCGGAATGAAATTTCGCCTTCCTGCAAAGAAAAGAAAAGAATAAATGAAATAAGCTAACACTGAACTAAAAATTGGATTCACAAAAAGTACACAGTTCAAGGTATCAATGTCTACTGACTAGAAAAAAATAGCAAAGAGAATATCTTGATGGAACTTGTTAGTGGTTTCAACATGTACTGAGTTAAGTGTGTAATAAGAGATCTGGACTTGTGATTGGACTCCAACTCCATTCAACTGTGGAATCTTCTTACCCTGGAGGAAAGCTAACTGGCCTTTTGTACTTGAATAGCTGAAGAAAGACACAAATTGCAAGAGAAAAAGAAAGAAAACCATGAATCAAGGCAGTCTTTAAAGAAAAGCCCATTCTACTTTTCCTTTTATATATGCTGCAAGTCAAGGGCTAACATGTCAAGATCAGAACAGGGAACTTACCATGAAAAATCTGTTTTAGCCTCACCTACTGGTCAGTAGAAGGCAATGCAGGGAGAGAAGAATGACTATGTTATCACCACGTGTTTCAGTGTATGTATCAAAATGGATGCTAAACTGGGGGTTATCTGCTTTATCATATCCCACAGACACTTCTTGGCAAACAGCCAGAAAATAATTCACTAAGTGTTTGTGATATTGAAGAGGTTTACAAATGCAGAAACAAACTAAGTGCTTTATTCTTCTGAAACAGCTACACTACATGGGCACAATCAATAACAGATCAAATGTACAGATCAAACTTTAAGAAATATATTCTGTCTCTAGACTTGGAAACATCACGTTTTTCTAAACAATCCCTTTGATGACAAAGCATTTCATCTCTAATCATTTAATCACCTTTCAGATTATATCCTCTGGCGTCTGTGGTACTGATAACCACATCCTGGAAGGAAAAAACGAAATCCCATTTCCTATAATCTTGGGCCACGAGGGGGCTGGAATTGTAGAGAGCATTGGAAAAGGCGTAACCACTGTGAAACCAGGTAAGTACCTAGACAGAAACAGTGCCTCCTCCTTTCCCGACTCACTTCCTGATTCTTTCCCATGGGCTCTGGTAGGATAGCAAAACTCATCATACACTTAAAAAAAAAAAAAACAATTAGAATGTATTCTCATACCAGTTATAAAAAACAGGCAGCTTAGAACTCATAATGTTCTAGTTTTGTATTTGAGGCTTCTGATGTAGAACACTGACCAATGCAGAAAAGCATTATGCCATGAATATCAATACAACTCAGACTTAGCTATTAATTTTGAACCTCAATATAAATATGCAAACTCTTTTTGTACTCTGAAAGTCCCGTTGCATGAAAATTGATTTATTTCCATTCCAAATGAAATGATAATTTCAAACATAATGATAGGAATAGGAGTATGACCTAGTGGTTAATGTTCCGGTTGAGACATCACATCCCAAATGAAGAGTAACTGGATTCAAGTCTCAGCTCTGCTGTTCATTCCAACTTCCTACTAATGCAAACCCTGGGAGGCAAGCAGTGATGCTTCAAGAGTTGGGACCCTGCCACCCTACTGGGAGACCCTGATTGAGTTCCAAGCTCCCAACTTCAGCCTGGCCAATCCTCAGTTTTGTGGGCATTTGGAGAGTGGACCGGCAGATTTTGTTTGTTTTTGTTTGTTTTTTCTTTCTTTCTCTCGCTTTCCTTCTCTCTCTGCTTACTTCTCTGTTTCCTAAAAAATAATTTGATGATATAAATAAAAGTAATGATAACTTTTATTGTAACAAACTGAAACAATTTCCTGTGAATAAACATGGTATTGATTAAATTCCAAGCTGGTAATCATTTTGTTTATTCTTTTTCCTTAGGAGACAAAGTCTTAATGTTCCCTCTTCCAGAGTGCAGAGAATGCGACTCTTGCCTGAACCCCAAGGGCAACCTCTGCTTGAAGGGAGAGTTAGTTTCAATTTTTTGCCTTCCTTTCATCCCATTTGCTTTCATTGGTACAGATATTTGACTCAGAGCTAAAGTTCTTTATTTCTCTCCTTGTAACTCTGAATCTTTGGAACAGTGTTCTCTCTCCAACTGGATTAATGTTAGATGGAACCAGCAGATTTACCTGCAGGGGAAAGAAGATTTATCATCTTTATCGTACAAGCACATTCACTGAATATACTGTTGTGCATGAAATAGCAGTGGGGAAAATCGATGCTGCTGCTCCTTTGGATAAAGTCTGTATCATGAGCTGTGAGGTGCCTACAAGCTTTGGAGCTGTGTTTAACACTGCAAAGGTAAAAACCTATTTGTGTGATGTTTTCAGTGACCATCCACATAAGGTCAAACCCAGAGCCAAGAAGCCAGATAGCCTCCTCCATTACACATAAAACCAATACTTTTTTCCCTCTTCCTATTAACACTGAAACATCCACTTAGGATGCTAAGTTTATCCTCTGAATTTATAGGTCACTCCAGGTTCCACCTGTGTGGTCTTTGGACTTGGAGGAATTGGTTCAGCCATTGTGATGGCCTGCAAAGCCTCTGGTGCTTCCAGGATCATTGGGGTTGACATCAATGAGCAGAAGTTTCCTCGGGCGAGAGCTTTAGGAGTCACTGACTGTCTCAACCCTCGGAACCTCAAGAAGCCTGTCCAGGAGGTGGTGATGGAAATGACAGGTGTTGGTGTTGACTTTGCCTTTGAGGCCATTGGACTCATTGATACCATGGTATGTGGTCTTTGGGGTATGGGTCTTCAGTCAGGAGGTACTGCCTGTCAACATCTGGGTATAAATTAAATTAACTTCATAAAACATAAAATTACTATAATTTTAAGTGGAATTTTTGAGCTTAGCTGCCTTGTACCATGCTGAATTACTTACACATTCTGTGCTCTTTTGTCTCTATATCTTCCTTAAAATTCAGGTGCTAACATAATCCTCTTTCCAAAGATCAGAAAATGTAACTAGTTAATTTAAGCCGTTTGCCCAAGATCTCATGTGAATTATACCACATACTGTCCTATTCTCTCTTATAGCTACCCTGAAAACATATTTTGGGTGTACTGAAAAGCTATGCAATTTATTTCCTAAATTAGGTTGCAGCTTTGGAATCATGCAATCTGAGCTATGGAGTGTGTGTGATCGTTGGAGCAGCACCCTCAAATTCAAAACTCTCCTTTGACCCCATGCTGATTCTCTCTGGGAGAACCCTGAAAGGTGGCATTCTGGGAGGTAGGTCTTTCACTTTCTTGTTGCCTTTCACAGAAATCTAGACACCCTTCACACTCTTTGGAAAGAAATGAAGGGCAGGAACATGGCATTTTATGTCTCTGAGCCACTCCCCAGTACAGAATAAGACTAGGAGAAACTCTCACTGTATTGACCACCAATTGTCACCAAAACATAATCCAAACTTGCTATTTAAGAATGAATCAGATAACTCTAAAATGGTGTGTTATCTTAATAACACCTCTGAGTTCCTTTTCTGCCACACTTTACACCCACTGCCAGTGTGCCTCCAGACTAGAACTATCCAAGAGAGCATTTTTGCAATGATGAAAATATTCTTCAGTTTTTTGTCCAATATGGTAGACATTAACCACCTGTGGCTATTGAACATTCAAAGTGTGGCTAGCAGGACTAGAAAACTGACTTAATTACATTTAATGTAGTTAACTATTTAAATAGCCACACATGACTCCATGGCTACCTTATTAGACAGCACAGTTGAGTTTATCTTGTTCTCTGACTTAAGCTAGAATGCTCAAATATAAAAAGCTAACTTGAGGGAACTATAGTATGGAGCTTAAAAACATTCTCTAACATGACCTAAACCAAGTTATTTAAAGTTCTTCATTTTCAGGTCTATCATCTGAAAAATGGGATTAACAATAGTTCCTTTCTTGTATATTACAGTGAGAACTAAAGTAAACAATACATGGAATGCAATAACGACAATGATTACAGGAGCTATTGGCCCCAATAAAAGCTGGAGGGAATGAAAGCCATATACTGCAAAATATAACTGACAGATATATTTTGCTATATTGAAATATCTTCATTTATTCATTAGGTAGCCTTGCATTATTAAAATTAGATTAGTGCCTAGTTATAAAATATAAGAAAAAACTTTGCCATTGACCAAACTTCCATTCTGAAGTTCTTTCTTCCAAAAACTATACATCTAAATTTTCCAACTTGAATAAAAACCCAATTTAAAAATTAAGTCATTTCAGAAGTAACTGGGCTAGGGGATGGCGCTGTGGCACAGTTGGTTAACATCTGCCTGTGCAACAGGCATCCCATATGCATATAGGTTCATGTCCTGGCTGCTCCATTTCTGATCTAGCTCCCTGCTGATGGCCTGGGAAAGCAGAAGATGGCCCAGTGCGTGGGCCCTGGCACCCATGTAGGAGACCTGGAAGAAACTCCTGGCTCCTGGCTTTGGTTGGCCCAGCTCCAGCCACTGAGGCCATCTGGGGAGTGAACCAGCAAATGGAAGACCTTTCTCTCTGTCTTGCCCTCTGTCTGTAACAATGCCTCTCAAGTAAATAAATAAATCTTAAAAACACACACACACACACACACACACAAAACAAGTAATTGGGCTGGTGCAGAGAATGCCTAAGCATAATTGACACAAATATATGGCAGAGTCCCTAGGGGTGCAGGACACCACATGACCGTAGACAGGGAGTCTATGTCTTCAAGTCTCTCTCTTTGTATAAAGCCAATAGTATTCAGTTATGAAAAATCCATTCTGAGGACCTAATCTAATCCTAATCACTTCCCAAAGGATCTACTTCGAAAACAAAAACTTCATCCTCTGAATATCTCAAATGGGGATAAATTACAAAACCTGGGGTCAGGTATTTGGTGCAGTGGATAGGATGCTATTTGGGACCCCTACACACCATATCAAGTGCCTGGATTACAGTCCCAGCTCTGCTCCCAAATTCAGCTTCCTACAAATGCACACTCTAGGAGGCAGCAGGTGATGAGGAACCAAGTAGCTGGGTCCCTGTCGCCTATGTGGGAGGCCCAGATTGCATTTTTGTCTCCTGAATTTATCCTGGTCCTGTCCTAGCTATTGTGGGCATTCGGGAGAGTGCATCAGTGGACACACACTCTCTCTCCCTTAAAAATAAATTAAACAAACAATATTTTTAAGTTTCAACACAGGAACCCTTGTGTCACACTCAAACTATTGCACCATCCTTGGCTTCACTGGAGGATTTATTTACATTTTCTAAAACTTTTCATTGTGTATCTGCCATGTCTCCTTCCTCCACAATAAACACACTGAGGAAAACCATACTTAATAAGATTCTCACTTTGGATGGGAAAATCTGTGATTGTCTTTTCCTTTCATTCACTTCCATGTTGCCAGATTTCTGTTACTCAAAATCCTGAATACTAGTTACGTAATTCCCAGATATTTAATACGAATAGTCCTGTTAAGCAAGATAAAATATTTGTAACCAGGGGTCTGATAAAGATTACCTGATGTCTTTTTTTGTATATGTAAAACTCAGCCTTCCTTTTTAATCCCAAATTAACATTTTATAGTAGCCTTAAGTGAATTTTTAAATGACTATAAATAACTCTTCTAGTAATAAAAAGATCTGAGTCCTAGGTTCAGCTTTGCTACTTTCAAGTTGTGCATTTGTGTTTTGAAAGGTGTCCAGGATTTGTTTCAGTCAGGTTTGGCAAGATGACAGACTCACAGAAAACTGCCCCGAAAGAAGAGCTTATTCCTTCCAGTTCCCCAGAGGTCAGCTACTCCACATCGTGCAAGAACACACAGGAAAGCACAGGCTCCTTCAGGAAGCAGAGCGAATGAGGAGGAAAGCATAAGGCCAGAGCCTTTTATGTGGTTTTCACAGGGAGAACTGGCAAGGCTGGGTAGATAAGCCAACCAAGTTTAGGATTAAGTAGCTTAAGTAATACTGATGGATTCTGGGAACTGGCCCAGAGGTGATTTAAAGTAGGGAATAGTGACTTGAACTGTTGTAACCTGATCAAAGAGGGAAACAACTGTACAAATTCAACGTTGGTTAGTATGCATGTCAAAGGCATGCTCCCAGACAACTTATTTACCATCTTTAGGAATTAGTTACCTTGGAAGGGAGAGTCCCTCCCTGGGTCCCAAAAACCCCAAGATGTCAGAGCATGATAAACTACAGAAAATTGAAAGCATAATTAATACAATGAGTGAAAAATATTTCTCTATAAATCTCAGTCTGATGGAATTTATCACATTGAGGAAGATCCCTGTGTCTGCCTTACTCCTGTTGATCAAATAGTCAGTAGGAACTAACAGCTTCCAACAGCATCTTACACAGCTACTCTACTGCACCACCTTCCAAAAAGTTGCTACAGAGTCTGAGACTTAATTCCCAGGGTGAAAAGCTGAGTGTGTGCAGCAGATACAACTACAGCATTCAGTGGAGAGAGAATGTGGTGAATCAAGCCAGCTGGGGGTCAGCTGTGATGGGGTATCGTTCATGTTCTGAAGATACAGGAGAGCTACAGACTCCAGGGCAGTGACATAACAGCACTTGGGGGTTTGCTCACAAACATAGGTAGATTGTTGGATTCTTTGATTAGTTTGTATATCACCCAGATCCTGTTATTGTTCTTTCTACAGTGTATAAAACCAGAGACTGTATTCCAAAACTGGTTACTGACTACCTACAAAACAAAATCAATATAGACCCACTTATAACCCATAAGTTGCCTTTTGAAAGAATCAATGAGGCATTTAAATTGCTCCAGAATGGACCTTGGTGAGTATTTGTGTGTGAGTAGTGTGTGTGTGTATGTGTGTGTGTGGTATTTAAAAAGCTTCTGTGTAAGAAATGGCATGTGGTTTTCACCCAAAAATTTTTTTTGAAGATTGATTTGATTTACTTTGAAAGGCAGAGTTAGAGAGGGAGCAAGGGAGGAAGGGAGAGAGAGAGATCATGCATCCACTAGATGCATCCATCCTAGATGACTGTAAATGCCAGCGCTGGGCAGGACAAAGCCAGGAACCAGGAGTTTCATCAGGTCTCCTGCATGGGTGGCAGGGACCCAAACACTTAAGCCATGCTCCGCTGATTTTCCCAGGAATTCTCAGAGAGCTGGATCAGAAGTGGAGCAGCCAGGACACAAACCAGCACCCATAGTGTTGCAAGTGGTGGCTTTATTCACTATGCCACAATGACAATCTCTCTCATCCAAAATTTTATGAAAAAATAAGACAGCCAAGTACAAATGTGAGCAGTTGTGAGAAACAGTTTAGGAAACAACAATAAAAGGGCTTTGAGTCAGTTGTGAGGAAACTCAACTCTTTCCATACTCAGTTGCCATGTGACCCAAAATGGCTATCTTGGCCCATGTCTCTATTCTCATTTTTTAAATGATACCTTCTCTCTTTAGAAACTGCTATGGGGGCGGTGCTGTGGCACAGCAGGTTAACACCCTGGCCTGAAGTGCCAGCATCCAATATGAGCACTGGTTCTAGTCCTGGCTGCTCCACTTCTGATCCAGCTCTCTGCTATGGCCTGGGAGAGCAGTAGAAGGAAGCTCTTGGCTCCTGGCTTCGGATTGGTGCAGCTCTGGCCGCTGCAGCCATCTGGAAAGTGAACCAGTGGATGGAAGACCTCTCTCTCTGTCTCTACTTCTCTCTGTGACTCTTTCAAATAAATAAATTTTTTTTTTTTTAAAAAGAAACTGCTATGAAGATCAAATGAGAAAATCAAAATGAAACACCAGGGAAAAGCAAAGTGTGACTAGAGTATGTTATAATGAAGTTTTTGTTATCATTAGCTTGAGAACTAGAATATATTACTAAGAAATTAAACTATAAGTTGACTCTAGCCCCCGCCGCCATTGCTGGAAGCCAGGTGGCCACAGGGCTCAACCACCAATGTCAAGCTCCACCCTCATCCTGATGGGATTCACTGCTCCTACTTCCCTGCCCGCCCCCCCCCCACAAAGTTTTAAAAGGACCTGCTCCTGAACACATGGCTCTCTCTCCTCCTCTCTCTCTCTCGCTTGCTCTCTTTCTTTCTGTCTCCTGACCTCTGTCTCTGTCTCTCTCTCTTACGCTCTCCTTTTCCCTCTTTTCCTTCTTCACCCCTTCTCTCCACTCTGTCGGGTTTCCCCCAATAAACTCTTTCCCTTAAAAAAAATAAAATTATAAGTTGAGCAGCAACCTGCAAAGACTACCACAGTTTTAAAATGATCTGACATCTACCAGGAAATTATTTATTTATTTACAAAGCACAGTTTGTGCTTTTATGGATTTATGAGAGTACTTCAAAAAGTTCATGAAAATTGCTTCTTGATCTTTTGGCTAAGATCAAGTGTAAAAAGTTCATGAAAAAGTGTTTATTTTAGTGGAAAAGAAAGTTTGAAATAAATGCATAGATTTTTTTTCACAATACTCATTGCCCACAAACGTTTTGAATACCCCACACATTTGTAAGAAATTTGCTATTTGAAGTTTTAGTAGTATATCTATTCAGCCTATATTAACAAAGCACCTAATAACAAAATTGTACTAGACACACTGGCAAAACAGAGTCCAGTGTTATCCCTGTCTTTACACTGATGATGGTTCAGCCCTAGAGTATAATATACTTTGTACAACAATAATTGCGGTAGAGGCAGGATCAGATGTCTGGCTAAAATATCTAAGTCTCAAGATTCATGGTATGGAAATCCCATTTTTTACTGACTAGAGCTCCCTGGAAGAGCAAGTCACCACTGATCTGGGCACTGGGAGCTTACAGATCTGCACAGTGAACATGTGGGCAAAGGATACTGTGGACATTGGAGCTGTGTACAAGAACTCACAGGAGGGGGAACAAAGTTCACATTTAGCAAGTGGCAAACAATTCAGTTTACAAGGAACAATTTGTGCTTGTTAAAATAGCAAGTTTAAAGGTCTTGATTGTATAAATTTTCTAAATATTACTCTAAGTTAATAAGAGTGCAAGACGTTTTCCATCTAAATTGAACTGGATTTTCCTAGGATATTAGCTGGCCTTTCTGGAGTCTAAATTTACGATTTTGTTATAAAATCCCACCTAATAGGGACTAGCATAAATCAACAATAGTTTTGCTTAGAATTACTATGCACATTGAGTAGGGCAACTGAAATCAACCAAGTTCCAAAGCATCTGAAAAATATAGTTGTTGGGTTACTTATATTTTAAAACTGACCCTTAATTAGCTTTCTTTAAAAAAAACCTTTAGCTAAATATTTCACTCCTATACCCAAGCACTAGTCAAATAAATGCATTCCATTGTCCACCAATAGTGAGAAACTATTGAAATCCATCAATTGCAAGTCCTAGGAAAACAAAATACAGCTACTACATGGCTGGAAAAAAGATAAGCATGATGAGAATTGAACAAAATTGTAGGGATTCTTCTCCATTCAAATCATCAGGCTAACAAGTTTCATACAATAATATACAATGCATTTTCATGCGTTTAATGCAGAATTCTCAAAAAAATTTAAAGACAAAAGGGGAGTACTGGAGACAAAGCTGAATCTAACTGTTTATGGAAATGAAACAGGCCTTAATGCCCATCTGATGGATAGAATGAATTTATTTATGGTATGGCCATTTTTGCAGAGTTACAAGCACATAAAAAGAACAGAAACACCGCCAGTTCTATGCTTCACATTAATTGTGACTTATAATTTCTGACCACAAATAAGCCTCATATATTAATTTTAAACCACTTTCCCTACCTTGAAGCTTAATTCCAAAATTTAACCCTGAAAGAAGGCAGTTTTCACCAACTTATTCATAATAATGAAAATCACTACATTGCTAAAATGGACTACCAGGAAACATTACTTCCCTTTCAATCCACCTTGTTAGAACTGGCTTGATAATTATTTATGACTTAGGAACATTAGACTTTAGCACCAGCGCTAAAAAATTAATCTTGCACTTTTAACATTAGCAGTGTGTGTGGTAACAAAACAAAATGTGGTGGAAGTACCTGGATGAACTTTCCAGAGGAAAGGAAATGTAGACCAAGCCTCTGGGGCTTATCCAGAAATTCTTGGCTAGCACAGTATTAACTTGCCTCAACCTCACTAATAGAAACCATTGGAGAAACCTTTTTGCATTGGGACTTTTTAAACCTAGCTTTCATAGATTATGAGCTGATGTAAGTTCTGAAGTCACTTGGCTTTCACCTTCATTTATGGAGAACCAAATGAAGCTCCAAGGAAGTAGAGACATCGTCCAGGATCACATAGCAAATTACCACTTAAGTAGACTCTCCTGGAATATCACCACTCCTTTCTCTGCACGAGTCTTTCATGTTATTCTCATGTTTCGGCTTTGCTCTCTCCAGCACTCAATGCCTCGGTCACAACAAATTTCTTTCATGCTTTCCTCAAACCCTATCCATTAAAGGATGATGTCAAGCTCCCCATCTCTTAGCCTTCACACTTGTAGTTCCTTGCTCTGGAGCCCACCCATGCCCATACCCGACCTGCACCACATTTCTTGTCTCTTTCAGCTGCCAGGCAATGTCCAACTCCATTTAGCATACTCTCTAAGCGCCCAGAAATCTAGGAAACATCTACTTCTCTGTTTCCCTTCTACCCTCAACTCCCCCCCCCAAGATATCTAATATTGCATTGTAATTGTCTGGTTAGTTATTTGTCTGATGAGTTCTTGAATATCACATTCTTCATTATAACCCTAGCATCAAATGCAATTGCTCTATAACAAATTTCTGTTTAATAAATGAATAAATACCAACATGAAAAATGAGCAAACATCCTTAATGTCCTTAATGCAAGTGCATCAGACCACTGGATTTAGAAAACTGCACACATCTAGAGATTTTACCTATATACAATGTATAATGTATATTACTCTTCTTAAAACAGAAAAAAACAGCTTGACAGCTATTATGAGTATAGGTATAACGCAGCTTAGTAACCATAACAACACAGGAGAAAAAGAACAAAAGAAAACACCTGACATTTGAAATGGAATATACCATGGTCTTTATGCAGCCTTCTGCAATTTGAAAATAAAGCGTCTATGGGAATCCTTCCTTTACCAGCATATCAACATAAGGCCAGCTAAAGACTGATCAGAATTCATGGAGAGAAGCAGACCCTGTAACCCTGTAACTGTGGAACTATATGAATGACTGGTTGGACCTGATGACTCTCCCTCTTGCCTTATTTTATCTCTGTTTCTTGATCCTAAGATTTCCAGTTACCCACTGAACTTGATTGCAGAGACATTTTTTGGTGATGAGTGTTGGTTGGGGACAAGGGAGTTAACAGTTAAGATACAAAATGGGGGTAGGCAGACAGTTTGCTACCTTGAAATACATGTGCTGTAATTATTTTGTATGATGTGCATTTGGCCTGCCAAGTTGGTTGTTTGAATATTTGAACTTTTTTGTGTTTCAGCATCCGTTGTGTCCTCTTGTTTTGAGACCCCAGAGGATGAAAATGGAGAAAATGGAGCACAAGTATCCTCAGCAATGCTTTTTTTTTTTTTTGCCTTTCCCACCTCCTTGACAATTTAATTATAGTACAGAAAGCCCAAAATTAAAGCTAGCACTGTGGCGCAGAGGGTTAAGCTTCCATCTGCAGTACTGGCATCCCATATGCTTCACTTTAAATCCAGCTCCCTACTAACGCACCTGGCAAAGCAATGGAAGATTGCTTGGGATTCTGCACTCATGTGGGAGATCTAGATGAAGTTCCTGGCTCCTGGCTTTGACCTGGCCCAGCCCTGGTCATTGTGCGATTTGTGGAGTTAACCAGCAGATGGAAGATCTCTCTCTCTATCTCTCTCTCTCTCTGTTTCTCCCTCTCGGTAACTCTGACTTTCAAATAAATAAATAAATGAAAAAAAAAAACTCTCTAGTAATTCCTGAGATCCAGAAATTAAAAAAAGAAAGTCCAAAATTGCAAAGAGGGTTCCTGCAGAATTTTTAGAAATGAATCAATTATAATAAAATTAACTATTTTGAATTCATTTTTACATTTCAACTTAAAGCCTGAAGAAAAAGGTATGAGTTACTTATGGAAGGGTCTTCCATCCACATTAATTGTCTGACTTTAAATTTGTTTTACTTTGAATAGGCCTCAATTCAGCTTGTATTTATTAAAAATGCATTTATAGCATGGAATGCTTCTCCATTCCACATGTGCTCAGCTGACCTGCCTCAGAAAGAATCACCCAATAGTCTGCCTTCTTGGGCAAGGACTGGGAAGGCAGGTGACCAATTGTAGGCGTTGGAGCCTCACATACGTTGGGCCAAATTTTCCTAGTTGTGATGGAATGGGAGGGGGTGCTGCTATTAACTATGCTTCAAAATTAATCAAACTTCTTAACACTCAGTCTCACCTGTCCTTCACAAACAGAAATATATCTTGCCTATTTCTTTTCAATATGTTATTTTCCCCTGGGTAGGCCTGCAGTCTTAGGGTAAAACTGAATCATTCTCTTTTTCTGCTCCATTGCCTCAGCTTGCATGTAAAGAGATATAGGGCCACATTGATTACACATGTAATTTTGTCATAAACTTATTGCAATCTGCCAAAATTCACTAAAATAGAACTTAGGATAAAAGGAAGGCTCTGTTTCAGGAAGAAGTTTGCAAACCAGGGAGATGCAACCTTCAGTTTTGTTTTTTTTTTTTAAAGTGTACTCCAAAGGAACAAAAAGGAGAACTTGTCTTTTACAGAACAGGTTCATACCCAGCTTTGACTCCAGTCCACTATGCAAATGAAGGATGTTAGATATAAGTTTGCAGGTGGGAAGCACTCAGTCACAGTTAGTTGAAATTTAAAAGTGACTGCAGATCACAGTTCACTGCTCAGGTCCAGGTTGCAAAACAATATGTTTAAAGTCTATTTGTCTCAGCAGTTGAAAACAGGAACATGCCTGGGCAAGGGTCACAATAACCCAGAGCCAAACAGAGTACACACGAAACCTCCTGTTAGCAGATGGCTGCTCAGCTGTGGTTAGAATCCTAGGCCCATTTTGCCATTCTGTATATTTCTCAAAGGTTCAGCTTCCTCATGATTTACAAGTTTTGGTGCACACATTCTATCAGCTTCAAACTATGAAAAGAGGGAATAGTAATAGGCAAGATTCAAGAAAAAATCATCATTTAAATAAAATCTTTTTTTAAAAGAGTTATTTATTTGAAAGACAGAGTTACAGAAAAAGAAAGAAGGTGAGACAGAGACACACACAGAGACAGAGTGAACTGGTTCACTCCCCAAAAACCTGCAATGATTGAGGCTTACTTGAATCAGTGCCCATACGGGTTGCCAACATTGCAGGCAGCAGTTTAACCTACCCGCCACAATGCCAGCCCCATTAAACAAAATCTTCACATGAGGATAATGAGTTGATTCTTTGGCTCTATTTTGGCTACAAACTAGATTATGTGAAAAATATTCCTAGTTGGAAATGTAAAATTTATGCAACAACATCCATTTAAATATGTGTCTTTTTTGCACCTGTTTCTGCCTCTCAAATAAGTAAATAAATTGAAGACACTGTATTAAAATTGTATAACTCAAATGATATGATGAATTCCTAGAAAAAGTGTAAACTACCAAAACTGACTAAAGAATAACTAGACAATCTCAATATGTGTTACTTAATTTAATAACACAGGACTTTAAGTTTCAAGTTACTGAAAAGATATTTGAAAGTCAGAGATCATTTATAAATGTTTATACAAATTATTTTTTCCTAATTTAGTCAACTAAACTATAATTGAAATGCTCATGTAAAAAACACTAATCACCATCTTAAATTATGCTTGAAGGGTAAGGTAAGTATTAAGCAATCACAGAGGCAAATGTTGTCATACAATAAGCCTGGCACATTTCTAATACAATCCCATCAAGGTGGCATGTACCAATGCATCTCACTAGTCCAAGTGATCAATTTCAGTTCACAATTGATCATACTAATAGGTCTAAGAGTCAAAGGGATCACATAAACAAGGCTAGTGCCTGCTAATACTAACTGATAGAATCAAAAAGAGAGAGAACAATCCAACATGGGAAGCGAGATACACAGCAGACTCATAGAATGGCAGATGTCCTAAACAGCACTCTGGCCTCAGAATCAGCCCTTAAGGCATTCGGATCTGGCTGAAGAGCTCATGAGAGTATTTTAGGCATGGAAAGCCAAGACACTCTGGCAAAAAAAAAAAAAAAAAAAAACCTAAATGAAAGATCTCTGTGAGTGAGATCCCAGTGGAATGAATGGGCCATCAAAGAAGGAGGTACCCTTCTCTGAAGGGAGGAGAGACCTTCCACTTTGACTATGACCTTGTCTAAATAAGTTGGCGAACTCAAGAGGCTTCCATAGCCCTGGCAACTCATGACAAGAGCCTAGGGAAATGACTGACGCCATAAACAAGAGTGTCAATTTGTTAAGTCAACAATGGGAGTCACTGTGCACTTACTCCTCATGTAGGATCTCTGTCCTTAATGTGTTGTTCCATGTGAATTAATGTTATAACTAGTACTCAAATAGTATTTTACACTTTATGTTCTCTGTGGGTGCAAAGTGATGAAATCTTTACTTGATATATACTGAATTGATCTTCTGTATATAAAGATAATTGAAAATGAATCTTGATGTGAATGGAATGGGAGAGGGAGTGGGAGATGGGAGGGTTGTGGGTGGGAGGGAAGTAATGGGGGAGAAAAAGCCACTGTAATCCAACAGCTATACTTTGGAAATTTATATTTACTAAATAAAAGTTAAAAAAAATAAACCTGCCTACTCTCACACACACTACTATTATGATAAATATATCTAATAGACATATAACAAGAGAAGGGATTGAAATGGTAATCAAGAACTTGACACAAAGAAAAGCCCAATTCTGAATGGTTTCACTGGTGAATTCATCCAAATATCTACCGAAAATTTAGTACTGATTTTTCACAAACATTTCCAAAAAATAGAAGAAGAAAGAACATTTCCCAATTCATTCTATGAGGCCAATATCATTATCCATTCCTTCTTGGTAAAAATTTATACCTTTATGATTTTAAGTAGCTATCAAAAAGTAAATGTAAATAAACCAGCCAACCAAGACACAAATGCATGCTAATCATTCCAAAAATATCTTTATCTTTTTTGCTCTTTAACAAACTTAAAGTAGGTTATTTATAAAAGATTTAAGTCATTGAAGCAATAGGGATTTCTTTCTTTTTTCATTAAGATTTTTTTTTTTTTACTATTCATGAATTTATTTAGACGTTTTAACAGTTTCTTGTGTGCTCAGGCTTTGGAATCAATGAGATCTTCGTTCAGATCCTGGCAGTGTAACTTACTAGCAGAGTGATGTTGCTCATGCAGTTACCTCGCATGGGAGACTGGGATGGAATTATAGGCTTCTGTCTTCAGCATGGCCCAGCCCTGGCTGATGTGCTGATGCTGCAATTTGGAGAGTGAACCAGTGGGCAGAAGATTCTCTCTTTCTCTCTCTTTCTTTGGTGTGTGTCACTCTGCTTATAAAGAATTCCAAACTTTCCAAATGAACGAGTGGGTGGAGGCTGCTTGTACAGCCCATGTTCCGGCTTCAGGAGATGTGGCAGGGGGCTGCTGGGAGGGAGGCCACCTTTCCATACCTGCAGCTCAAGCTTCCTCTTCTTTTCTGAATAACGCAGAGCTCTTATCTTGTCCCCATGCCAGTTCTGGATCACCAAAGGCACTCATTTGTTGTCTTAACTTTAGCAGCTCTGCCTTTTCCAGGGAGAAGCCCAGAGACTGCAAGTGAGACTGCGCATGGGCGGGAGTGCGGTAGCTGGCAGAGGTGCAGGAGAGCAGGCACGAGAAGCTGGGAAATGGCCCAGTGCAAGAGGTGCCCAAGAGAGCAGGGCAAGATTCATTTTTAATTATCTTTATATACAGAAGATCAACTTGGTTTATACTAAGTAAAGATTTCAACAGTTTGCACCCACACAGACACACAAAATATAAAGTACTGTTTGAAGACTAGTTTTACCATTAATTCTAATAGTATAACACATTAAGCACAGAGGTCCTACATGGGGAGTAAGTGCACAGTGACTCCCGTTGTTGATTTAACAATTGACACTCTTATTCATGACGTCAGTGATCACCCGAGGAGGCTCTTGTCATGAGCTGCCAAGGCTATGGAAGCCTCTTGAGTTCACAAACTCCGATCTTATTTAGACAAGGTCATAGTCAAAGTGAAAGTTCTCTCCTACCTTCAGAGAAAAGCTCTTCTTTGATGACTCGTTCATTCTACTGGAATCTCACTCACAGAGATCTTTCATTTAGGTCATTTTTTGCTAGAAGTGTCTTGGCTTTCCATGCCCTGAGAAACTCTCATAGACTTTTTAGCCAGATCTGAATGCCTTAAGAGTTTATTCTGAGGCCACCGTGCACCAACAGGGATTTCTATCCCACTTAATTCTTTCTATCCCATTATTCTATGTAAATTTCATTCCCTCTATATTGACTCTCTTTGATATAATAGCATAAAAGCTTGAAATGTGAATTTTTCTCTTATTTCTCCTTTCTGTTATAAAATAACCCTTGCTAGAAAATAGGGACATAACTCAGAGATTCATTAAGCGATCTCTTCTTATTCAGCATCAGGGAGTACCTGTGGCCAAGCAATGTTTGCAATGAGACCTCATTATTCGTTTTCTTTTTACTCATGTATCCATAGGTAAAATTTCTCAATTTTGTGAAATACACCCTAGACAGCTGTACGAATAGAGCTCTGATTACTCATCATTATTATGGCAAGACCTTCAACACAGAACCAACTTAAAATTACTGTTTTTTTTTTTTTTGAGTTACAAAACAAGCTTGTAAAATCACAAAACAAGTTTTCCAAGTTAA